AGTAGTAGGTAGTAGTAGTAGTACGTATAGTACGTAACCGAACCGTAAACCGTAACGGTAACGGTAGTAAGGTACGTAGTAGTAGTAGTAGTATGCATATATATATATATATATATATATATATATATATATATATGCATCACAAACAGGTGCATGCGGGCACAAACTGAGATATATACCCTATCATAATGCATGATAGTATATTTTTGTCATATTATAATTTTTATAGTTATTCATTCTATGCTAACAAGTATCATGGGAGTGTACGGCATCAATATCACTATTCACACCATATACACTTCCACCCTAAGCATAGACAGTTATCCGTGCATCATAGAGCAAAACACAATTTTTAATCACTTTCTTGAAGGAGTTTTTTCTAGAAGATTTTGACGAAGTTCTCTGCTCATATATTCCCATTCAAGAAAAACTGATAAAATTCATTGCTACTTCCTCATGTCCCTGATAACAATTGTTATTGGTTTCCCTCCCAACCATTGTATCAAAATTATCCACACGTTTATCAGCAAATGGTATAGTTTGGCTGCTGGAACTTCTATTTATCTATCTATCCTTAAGACGCTAATTTCAACAAAAGCCACAAAATACTAGAAAAAACGACTGACTTGAATAAGTGGTTAGTGAACCTACACCATAATTCAGGTAGACTATTCTAAAAACCAGTGATTTCTGATCCAGATCGCCGATCCGGATGGGAATCAATTAGGACCAAGCTGTTTCCAGGATGGCATGGGTCCCGGCCAAGTTCGCCCCTAAAATCCCCCCATATATATACTTTTACTTTTCGTTGAAACTTATTTAATATTTTCTTAAGTTCCCTCTATATCCCCACCTTATAAACCCCTATTTTAATTTTAATTTTATATCATTTATTTTTTAATATTTTTCCAAATCACCGATCCAGACCCAATCCGGATCGCCAATCTAGAAAGCTGACACAAATCTATGAGTGACGATCCATCCCCACCAATCCGGGTTTTGAAACACAAGGTAAAATATCAAATTCTTCAAAGTTAAGACTATGACTAACTTGGTCAGTAGTCTCAAAAATAAGTTTACTTTTGCCTCTTCGGCAGGGCCCATTTCAAGGACTAAGAAAGAAAGGCAGTAATTCAGAGCTCAAGGAGGAACCATTTCGTTCCTGAGGTGAGTTTAAAGGTTTGATTCCCAATCTCTTCACCTACAAATCAGGGGGTGGGGTCTGGGGATAATTGTAAGCACTTGTATTGGTTTTATCTTCTATGAGTAGGTCAAATTTCAGGAAGGGACTCGGTTTAGGGTGGTTGCAGATGATTCCAAGACTAAGCAAGACCAGCCTCTAACCCAGATACAATGCTAAATTATTGGTTTGAAAAGAAAGGGATTTTGGTTTTCCTTTGGCCTAGGAGGAACCTTGAGGAATGGCGATTCTATAGTTTGGTCAATTGTTATTATGTCATTAGTCTAGGGTCAACCTAAGGGATTTAGTAGGTAGGCAACCGATGTTGAGGAAATGGAATGGTAGGCTATCGATCAAACACCATCATTGTCTGCAGAGCGTATGAACCACAGGAACTCACCTACGGCCTCATTTGAAATGCTGCAGCAACTCCTAGACCCTTTGTTTTTTGAGAGGTTAGCATGCCTCAACATGTCCTACACTCCTACTCTAGTAGAATCCAAGGCAATGAGTTTTCGACACATTAAAGAAAGGGGAGAAAATGAGCCCTGAAATATACAATCCTATCATACTCAAAACCACAATCACATGATGATCATCACCTAGGCCAAATTGTCTCCCTGGAGGAGCTTCATCACCTAAGCCCAATCATAAAGCAAAGAATGACTTTGATAACAAAGGGATGAGTCAGATGAAATCCATCAACAAAAAAACTCCTAATCAACAAAACAGTCATGATGAAATCCATCATAGACAACAAACTATAACAGACATGCCGGTCAATGGGAATCAAGCTCATGTGAAGACAAGTTGAACAGAAGTAATCGAACAGCTTGAAAGATTTGGTGCATTTCCAAGATAATTAACAGAAAGCCTTTCCAAGATAATTAACATAAAGCACATGTAAAAATAGATAAGAATATCAATTATCAGAAGAAAAAATTTAAAAAAAGACAAGAAAGAACCATGAGAACATTAAAGGATACCTCAATAAACATAAGGAATAAACAAATGCATCGCCTATCGTTTGACTAGAACTGAGCCAGATAACCAATGAGGAGAACAGATAAGAATGTAAAGAAGCAGAATCAACTGAAACATACAATGGCCTAATGGAAGATGGATGCTGATTGGAAATCAAGAAGAGGTCAGGTCATAACGATTTTTGGCAACAATTACATTATTTAAATACTAAAGAGTATTATGGAAACCGATAAAACTACAACTGAAAATTTGGGAAGTAAAACCCAAATTTTAATAATAATAATAATAATAATAATAACAACAATAATGCAACTCACTGGCAAAAAGAAGTTCAAAGATTGCCTAGCAAGGACTGTCATGCCTAGCAACGTTCCCTAGCAAAAGCCACTGGAAGGTAAATCTCATCAAGGCCAACTAGATGATACTAATGCCCAAACCACCCAAAGCAACCCCCTCCCACCCCTCCCCCTCCTTTTTCTTCCTCTCCCCCCAACCCAACATGAGCACACAAGAGGCTCCCCTGACAAGTAATGTTAGCCTCAGCTACAGAAGCAAACATCATCCATTACATGTGTAAGATTTTTGTCTCCATAAAAGCTCATGACATTGGGCAAAATATTCAATCAATATCAACGTGCTGATCTTGCCATGTGAGGGCAGAGCAAACTCCAGGAAACACATAATATATAACCAAATTTAGTGGGTCAAAGCCACTTTTTGCTGAAGATTCCATATTTCTGAAGGAAACAAAAAAATTACGAAATTCTTGTTTGAATAGCAGGATAACTAGCTTTTTTAAATAGGTGACAGGTCTTTGCTAGGTCTCTTCCCTAACAACTACAAAAAGAACTTTAGAATTCACATTCTTAACAAGGATTTGTATTTTCATAAACCCAAATGTCAAGTTTACACTGGTTAAGACCGATATGATCTATGTTTGTCAACATAGAGCAATTTCAAGTGAATATCCAGCAAGAACACATATTCAGCAAGAACACATAAGAAGAGGCTGACAAACTCTCGATTCATTCCAGAGTTTGTTTAATTTAATAAAACAAGCATGTGAATGCATAGGTAAAATATATATAATATATAGCAATCCAACGAGCCACACAAATCCTGATCCAAGAATAATTTGGACATATTTTTGAAACTAAGATTTATGTATCTCACTTGTTGGTCCTATCACAAGAAAAACTTTCATCATCATTATCATCATCAAAGCTTTTTGCCAATTAATTGGGGTGGGCTACACGAATCATGGTCCGCCATTCCGCTCTATGAAGGGCCATACCCTCAGTGAGGCCATAAGTCCCCATATCTTTTCTCACTAATTCCAACTATGTCCTTTTGGGTCTACTCCTTGTCCTTTTTTAGCCTTCCACTTGAATTTAACTCGCACCTCCTAACAGGTGTTGTACTAGGTTTGAGCTGCACAAGGCCAGACCACGTAAGTCTACTTTCGCTCATCTCATTGCCTATTGGTGCCACACCTAAATTCTCCTGAATGTATTCAATTTTATCCCTTCTTGCCTTGTCACTCATCTATCTCAACATCCTCATCTCAGCTACACTCAATCTATGGATATGTTGTTTCTTGATTGCCCAACAGTCCACCCCATATGTAAAGTTGGCCTCACAGCTGTCCTATAAAACTTGCCCTTCAACTTCATTGGTATGTTGCGATCACATAAAACTCTAGTTGCACATTTCCTCCTCGCCCACTCAGCTCTAATTTTATGTGCACGACATCTTTTTCAATCTATCTATTTTCCTCGATCACCAACCTAAGTTATCGAAAGTACACTTTTTTTGGTATTTATTGGCTGTCAAGCTTAACTACTTCCTCGTCTCTACTCCTATTATTATTAAACTTGCATTCCATATAATTGTCTTAATCCAACTAATTTTAAAAACTTCAGATTCTAGAGCATCTTCCAAAGTTCTAACTTTGTGTTGACACGTTTCGGGTCTCGTCGATCAAAACTATGTCGTCCGCAAAAAACATAAACCACAGTACACTGAATCACTAATTTTGGAAGCCACCTCAACCAAAGCAATCACTAACAAACAAAAATATACAAATAGCAAAATTAGATTTCAAAACATAAAAATAGGAAGAAAAATATTCTTGAAGGTTTCTTCAAAGAGAAGAAAAAGAACAAAAAATAGATCAAGGCATGACAAAATCCACAAATTTGATTCTTGCATTAATGATAGAAATCCAAAGTTCACTTCCATAAGAAACTGATCATGTGTGGTAACGCTCAAAACAGATCTCAAGAACAAAGACATTAATTGTTTTTATAAATAGCATGAACTAATGAAACCTAACTACGATAACAAGAACTCTCCAACATCTAATGAACAATAAATTAATGAAAAAAATCTCTTCAGAATGCACAAAGAAAAAGCAAGCCGATTATAACAATGCAAATTTATATAGCAAGAGAAAGGGCTCACTGTGAACCTCGGATTCAATTATTATAGAAAAAAAGAAGATAGAAGAAATTCGGTAGAAAACCATGATAATATTTTTCTTAGGTAGGGAAGCACACAGATACCCCGATGATAATGATGATCACAATAGCTTTATTATAAATAAAGGATAGACAAAAAGAAACAGGAGTAGATAGATTTGAATAACTGACGATGTAAGAGGCAAACAATTAATCGATATTCAATATAACAATAGCTTTATGACAAATAAAGGATAGACAAAAAGAAACAGGAGTAGATAGATTTGAATAACTGATGATGTAAGAGGCAAACAGCTAATCGATCTTCGATCACATCAGAATAAAGGATAAGCAACATCAACAGCATTGGAATGTGACAAGAAAGGCCACCAAGCATACATTTGGAACAGAAATAGAAAAGAAATATATAAATCCAATATCAATGCAGAACAAGAATGGGTCAGTAGGGGGAAAAATTTGAGTTTCTACATCCATATATGACTGGTTACATAAGTAGGTTCATGAGATTGGTGCACTCCTATCTAACAAAGACAGTCAAGAGAACAATGGTTTCATTTCAAGATAACTTTAAACCTCAACTTTATCAACCAAAATAAATATAGAAATAAAGAACATATTACACCGACATATTCTATGAATATAGATTTATATAATCAGTTACCTGCGCAGGATGGCTTTGAATGGTCTCCAAGATATATTTCTCATGTCCCCATTCAAGATGGTGCCTGGCTCCTAGAACCAAGGCCATTTTCCTCGAGACATTTCTTGTATTTACTGAATCTTCACCTATCATAGTCTGAACCAACTAGTTAAGCACAATGCTCCCCCACCAAACCTATTAAATCGATCCAAAACGGCTTCTAGAAGAGCCAATTGTGAAGGCAAGATGCATGACAGAAAATTTATAGAAATCAAGAGGTTACCTGTAACAGGTGCCATATCTTCTGCATGCTAACTGACTTCATTCCAGAACTTTCCAGGCCCAACCCCTGATAAGCATCCCTAAATGCTGCAGCAGGCTGAAGAGGAAAGCTCAATTAAAATCACTTGAACCATTCGGGTGTTATTAAGCAATGTGGAGCATGATGATAACATGTCACAAAATTTGACATTAAAAACCAATTACCCAAACTAAAACATTCCAACAAAAGGCAAAGAATAAACCAAAATGCAGATATAACCAAGTACCGTAAAGTTGACACCATACATTAACTCCCAAAATGATGTTGCTGAACATGGAAATATCACTATAGAAAATCATCAAACAAAATGTAACAATGTTCAACATGTCAAATGGAAAGGGACTCGCTAAAACAGAAGGAAATAATGTCTTACATTAAAAGGTAAGCCACGCTCTCTTGAAACGTTCAGATTCCTCACAACTTCAGCATAGGCCGATGCCTTCTTTTCAAGAATAGGTTTGTTAGAAAGAGGCGCAAGCTGCATACCAGATGAACTAGCAGAAACCTGTGGACTTGAAGCAGCTGATGAAATCAAACCAACTTGGGGGGTACTTATTGATGGAACAGCACTGTTGGTTCTAGGTAGAGTAGAAAGACAGCTTAGACTTTGTAAAAAATCGCGCTTTTCCTTTTGCCAGTCATCCTGTTGCATGTCAAAACTATTAAAGATCTGCAAGCCTAGTGAAAGAAAAAAGAAAAGCATCGAAGTATCTTACTAGAAATGAGTTCTCAATGAAGGAAGTAGCACATATGGGCAAGGCAGAGTCGTAGACACATCCGCAAAAGGACAGTGACAAGGCAACAAGTCATGTAAAACATGTCTCAGAACAATGGATTTGCAAGGTAGAGGGAGAAGGGGTCACAATACAGGCAAGTCACAAGAAGAACATCTCAATGAAGAAAGCAATTAGGCATAGATTGAATCAATCCCAAGGTGCCCACCTCAAAATAAATACGAGGATAGAATCAATATTTTCTTGAAAGATTCAATATCTCTTGTACATTACCATCCCCATTATAGCCCCTATGATGTGTTGTGTCATCGTATATATACAACAAGATAGACTTGCATATACCAATTGAAGGTAAGCATGGCATGACCATGAAGGTACCAACCGCAGAGCTTTTAATGCTGATCATTCCATGTAACTTGACCTATGCTAACCCTTTTTTGTTATCTGTAAAAGAGGGGCAAGCACTGGGGAATACCCATAACAAATTGTTTCTAGAAAAAAGTGGACCTTGAATAAATAATGTCTGACAACAAAATTGGCCAGAGTTATTCTCTTCTTTATTTTCATGCAAGGAATCATGACTTATTTTTTACCCAGCAGTCATTTTTTTAGTTTCAAAAAATAAAATGACTGCCAGGTAAATTGCTGTAATAACAAAAGTTATTCTTTTCTTTCTGTTCATCAAATTCTGTCATGAGATCCAAACTTAAAATAATAGCATTTCGTGAACATAAAATGAAGAACAAGTTTAGTCAATGCAGCAATATAAAGGCAGGTATTAATGTGGGAGTGAGATTCAGTGTGTCAATACAGAGGCACATGTGAGATGCACTAAGGCAAATAGTAGAAGCCATGAAGCATCATATCGAAATTCTAGCCTTCAGTTTCTGCCAGTAACTTTCCATACAGAAATAGAACCAACTCCTGAGAGCTGATGACAAGGGTACTTTACCTACATTTTATCAGGTCCGGAGACATGCTCACTCAGTTCATCGACATTACTTTCTTTAAAAGGTAGGCTGCCTATTCTAGATATTCCCATTTCCAGTAAGATCATAGGTTCAATTCAGTTTAGTATAAGGTGATTTCCTAACCAATCCCACGTAAATCATAAATTCATTATTTTAAACATTTAGTCCTATTAATAGTTTACCAACGTCACATTTTAATTCATAAACTGTTATTAACATAAAATTAATAAGCACTATCACACTATTGCTATTCCAGTGAGTTCCGCATGCTTGATTATATTTAGAAGACCACTACAATTCATGTGCAGGCACAAGACTGAAAAACACAATCAGGGTAACTAAAGAATGACTAGCAACTGATTTCAAGAACAGTTTGTAGGCAATTTGCATGCCACTAGTTGAAATGGCTTTGCAGGATTTGCATTTCCAATTTGAGTTTAAAACATCCATGCAAGTCAGAAACAAGGAAGCAATGAAAAATAATTTACAGAAGGAAAAAGAATGAATATCAGATAGGAAAAGGATAATGACAAAGCATTTTCGAAAGTGTAAATATAAAAAAAGCTACACACGCCCTAAGAAGCAAATTAAAGGTAAAACCAGCACTTTAAAAACCAGCGAGCCTGCTTGGAACAAATAGCTGACCTGTCCAGGTCCAAGACCCTCCAGCCATCCCCAGTCCCCACCAGTTGTTTTTCTTTTTTTAAAAAAAAAAATTCAATAGGGAAAAAACCTAGAAAACCAGCAAACAAGCTAGGGCAGTACCTAGCTGGCTCAAAACTGGTGCATAACTGATCCAACCCACTGGATCTGATTTTAAAACACTGGTAACACCATTTACTAGTCCAATTGGCAAAGAAAAACAATTAGGAGACACCAACCTCCAAAACTTGCATCATATAGTCATCAAAGCTTCTTAGGTTATCCTTTTGTGCTTCCTGTACAGCTGACACCATGGCCATTTCATGAACCTGAAATGCAAATTGATGTAGAAATATATAAAGTAAAGTCTATTTCCCCAGAGCCAAAGCAACCAATAACAATAACATCTTCATAAACTCTAAACCACCATCCTCGACAACAAAACAAGTAGCAGTACAGCACAATAAAAGCTGCATTGGGAGCCATTGACTTAGAATAAAGAAAGATTTCCGACTACATCTACATTGAAGTTTAGAAATTTAAACCATTTCCTCGTATTCTTAAAACTAACCTGTTGCAAATATTCCTCAACACTAGTTGCCTCCACAGGAAAAATGTCTTCAAAGGTTGTCTGCCAATGTAAGGAATTGAAAGAAGTGAAGGAATAGATAAGGCTAACTAAGTTTTGAAAGGTAGAAATGAACAATATTACATGCACAAATGTCAAAGTCCTACTTTAACAATGCTGTGATAAAAGCTTCAGATATTTCCAAATTATAAGCACACCAAAAATAAATGTCGCAGAACGGGCAAATATATATAGCATAATTATGTGTTCCTTCAACAGTGAGTAGTTGAAAACTTTTTTATTATTATCGGTGGCAGCAGAAACCAAACTCAGTAAGGGAATGCAAGATGGTCCCTGAATGGTAAATACAAATCCAGCCACAAAGCTATTTACAGAAATCTTCAGTGTTTAACAATATCAAAGAGACAAAAAATCAGCTCCTAAAAAGGAAATTTGTAAAACTTGAAATTACATAAGACCAATGAGTATCAAAAATGAGATTCCTCCTCAATGAAGAATCAAATCATCACGAAGCCAAAGTTATCAGCTAGTGAAGGATCAAACCATCTATAAGGTTTTTGAGAAGGAACAAGTTGATGATTTCTCCCAAGTGAATAGAAATCGTTTGATAATGCCAATTCCAAACCAAAAAAGATCTTCTCCTTATTGCTCCAGCACCCAAGAAGAAATCATTGCAAATTATACTGTTATGAGGACAGGAATAAAATCTATAAGGTTGTGAATTAAACAAACCACAACATATGGGACTACAGCAAGGAGAACCCCTTGAAACCTACCAGGGTAAAGGTACAAAAGAATATTTTTGTTTCCTAATCAAACTTTACAATGAGACCTTGAAGCATCATCAACTACGAATTCGGAAGGTAATGTCTATCTGGCTCTAATACCATGTCAAATCTCAGGAAGAAAAGATGAGATGAACTTGTGTTCTATTTTCTATTAACACCAATTACAATAGACAGAGAGCAATACATAGTACGTAGCTAAGAGGCAAAAGATGTGAGTAGCCCCTACACAAAACAAGACGACAAATATTTAATCAGACAAAACAAGAAAGGTAAAACAAGTTCATATATATATATATATAGAGTGTGGTTTGTATAGAGCCGTGGCTCTAAAGAATCAAATTAGAGCCCACCTTCAAATAATGTCAAGAAATATGGTTTGTTTTCTGATAGCCTTAAATTATATTTTTATCTTTAGTGTAGATCGAGTGGATCTATGAAAACTTAAAAATCATGAAAATTGACGGTCGAAAAATACGTTACGAGATGCACTATTTTTAAAACTTGAATTCCATTTTTTTCTCATGTCCATGCATCTTGGTGTCGACATGATAAATTTAAGGATATTTGGGCAACAAAACAACTTTTTATAGTAAAATGTTTTAGGTGGGCTCTAATATGATTCTTTAGAGCTCGGCTCCAT